ATATATATATAACCGCTTTTATTACCATCGTTATCCCCGAGAGTTTAACCGTTTTGTACTAAAATGAGTGCGAATGCAAGCAAAAGACCCAGACTTGATCCGCCGGGTCAGAGGACTGAATCGAAGGAGTCGGGTATCCTCGACGAGGAGATTCTCCGCCTCGTCTTCAAGTCCATTAAATGGGATCTTCGCGTTCTTTGCTTAACCGCCTCCTTGAACCGGAAACTCAGAGCCATAGCGAAACGATTGCTCTGGCGAGAGCTCTGCGAGTACCGTGCTCCGCGCATGGCAGCAGCATTGGCCACTGGATTCCCTAATGGAAGAATCGGCGGTGGCTGGCACGCGCTCGCCAAGCTTATGTTCTTCTGCTGCGGGTGCCAGTCGACTGGGCATTTCACGGTGAGTCGGCCTTCGCCGGGTCATTTCGTTAGAGAGTCTCGATTCTCCAAAACTTCGGGTCGGAGCTTCTTGGCGAAAAAATGTCGGGGCGATTTGCTGTACGTAACCGACCCGTGTGAGCATGCGATGGGGGATAGGGAAGACGATTTGGGAATTTATAGAGGGGTATTTAAGGGATTTATGAGGTCGAAAACTTTCGCCTGCTTGATCCAACGGCAGGTGGAGTTCGAGGAAAGAGTACGATGTCCTTACTGTGGAGCCCGCGTGTGGAGCATGACGACGGCTGGACTGGTTCCGAAGAGCGCGGCGAGGCGGCTTGGGTCGCGTGACGGCGGTCTCGAGTATTTTGTTTGTGTGAATGGGCATTTGCACGGGACGTGTTGGCTCGTTCCCCTGTCATCCGATGAAGATGATCGGTACGAGGACGATGACGAAGCAGGTGGAAGCGACTTCGATCCTGATGCTGAAGGTGAAGCCGGCGTGTCCGGAGCTGTTTACGGTGATCGGCCGGTGACAAATGGAACACTGTGCTCCATACAGGATACTCCTAATGGGCTTATCGATTAATTGCTTTTTGATGATTCCTTCCGGTGAAGTACCGCTTTGGTACCGACCGCCGGACTCGAATATTATTGATTCTGTGTTGTGTAAAAAAGCTGGTAGCCGGTTTGCATTTGACGTGGACTCAAGAATGATTATTGTACAATTCTTTATGCTGAATAATTATTATTTTCTTCCAATAAAGACAATGGAATGAGATGAGTTTGCCTTAAATGGTAACCTAAATATCATCGAAAATTGGCGATTTTGTTGGTTGTTTTATATATATATATATATATATATATTCGAACTGTTGTGTCACACCTGGTCGAGTCCGGAGTAGTTGGGACAAGATTCCGGATATCAAGCGGGAAACCAAAAAATATATATATATATTCGAACTGCACAAATAAGAGAATCTTTTGTATTTTTATTTATTATATTAATATATCCATACGTGTTAAATTTAAAATTTTTTATTTTATTTATAAAGAAAATTACTATTAGTCTTTTAGGTTAATTGCAGAAACAG